CATCGCAATCCTCGGCACCCTTCCCCACTCTTTCAGAATCCTCCCTGCTCCATTGCACTCCTCAGCACTCCACCCCATTCCTCCCCACTCCATTTCACTCCTCGGCGCTCCTTTCGTTCCTCCGCCGTCCTCCCTCCCTCCTCCCTCCCTCCTCCCTCCCTCCTCGCTCCTCCGGGGGCCCTCCGAAGGCCTCCTCCGTCCTCGACCCGAACGCGGACTCGACCCCAGGGCTCCCGACCTCGATCCGAGGGCCTCCGACAATCTCGACAGGGCCTCCGACGGACTCCCTCCTCCCTCCTACCTCCTCCCCCCTCCCTCCTGTCTCCTCCCTCCCTCCCCCCTCCTCCCTCGTCGTCGTCGTCGTCGTCGTCGTCGTCGTCGTCGTCGTCGTCGTCGTCGTCGTCCGTCGCCGTCGCCGCCGCTGTCGCCGCCGCCGTCGCCGTTGCCGTCGCCGTCGGCTGGCGCCGTCGCTGGCGGCGCCCGCGCCCCTGGACAGGACAGAGAGCCATCCTTGCTGCCTCCCCCCCCTCCCTCGTCCCTGTCTCCCTCCCTCCCTCCCTCGCTCCCGTCCCTGTCGAGTTGGGCCGGGAGGTGCTGGGCAGGGCTGGGCTGGATGGGGCTCCTCATTTCTGGTCTCGCCATCCTCGTGCCGAGGAGGCCCCAGGGCTAGGGAACTGGGTCGTCTCTTGAGCCTCGCAGGTGAGCGCGGGTTTCCGGGCACGCTTCCGAGAGACTTCTGAGGACTTCTGGGGACTTGCGGGGGTGGCGAGTGGCAGCCCGTCGCGGTCGCTCGCAGGCTTTAAGGTTCCCTGGAGTTCTTCGGGTGTCTACGGAGGCTCTGGGCGCTCTGGGTTGCGGGTGGAGGTTTGAGGCCTCGCTCCTGGGCCCCCTCTTGGGGCCGTCCCGAGGTCCTCTGGGCCCCCTCTTGGGGCCGTCCCGGGGTCCTCTCGGGCAGTCCCGGAGGCCTCTTGGGCCGTCTTGGTGCCCTTTTGGACCGTCTTGGAGCTCTTTTGGGGGCCTCTTCGACCGCCTTGGGGCGATCGTGGGGGCCTCTTGGGGCGTCCTGGAGTGTCGGGAAGCCTCTTGGGCCGTCTTGGAAGTTTCGTCAGAATGCGGCCCAGAAGAGATCCAGAAGTGAACTCTGAACTCCATGTCGTCGGAAACGTGATTGCCGTCTTCGTCGTCGTCTTTCTCCTGCTCCATTCCCTCCTTTCCCACCTACCTTGTCCGGAAGCTGATGATGATGATTATGATAATGAGTGTCGGGATGATGCTGTTGATGATGATGATTATGATGATGGTGCTGATGACGATGACGACGAGGACGACGATGATAACGATGATGGTGATTGCAGCAAGTTTCGCTGGTTGTGTTTAGCAAGTCCACGGGGGATCCACGCATGAGGAAATCTGGAGGGCTGCGCTTTCTGCCGCCGACCCCCCGAAGCTGAGGTTGTTTCGGGGTTCGTGGGCGGAGCTTTCGGTCCATTTTGGTTCCCGTTTGACTCCGTGGTGGCTGTTCTGACTCAGTCTTGGTGGCCGTCGTGGATGCGCGGGGGTTCCCGGAGGTGCCCGGGGGGTTATAGCCCTGTCTGTAGCCCTAGAGCCTTATATCCCTACAGCACTATAGCCCTATAGCCCCATAGCCCTCGTAGGGACTCGAAGGGGGGCGTTTCTGTGGGCCATCTTGGGGAGACAGGTGAGCATATTTCCGTAAACAGGCGGCCAATTGCTGGGAACCTGGCGGTGCTGCACATGGCGCACGGTTTGGACACGACCCAGAAACATATCGTGCACAATATGCGCTCGGTGTCGAGCACCCTCGCTGGCACCCAGGAGCTGCGTCGCAGGATGGGCCACGTCTTTCAGTCTGGCGCGATTTGTTACGGGCACGGGCTCTTCATAACCATCTGGCCGAACGAGAAGCAGTCGTGCTTGGTCATGCGCCTGCACAGAGCACGTCAGGACGACCCGCTGCTGCGCGCGGGGTGCACGGACGACGCGCGATCGTCCATGAGAAAGAGGTTGGCGTCGCGGGATTGGCCCTCATTGTCGGAGTGTGCCGACGCGGAGCTCCCCGATTTCGACTTTCGTCTGTGCGAGGTGGCCAATGATCCTCTCTCGGTCGTGCAGGGCTTCCGCGTCGCCGTGAACGTTATCTTGGGCCGCCTCCTGGGCCTCCGGCTGTGCGCTGAGTGCGGTGTCGCCAGCCGTGGGCACCGCCGTTCAAGGTGTCGCTGCACGGATATGTTCGGCTCGAATTGTCGCCCCACGGGCGGCATATTCGGGCTCGCTACGACTCTGCTGGGCGCCGTAGAGAACCAGCACCTGGGCACTCTCCACTTCCGCGGGTTCGTGCACCTGGCAAACGCATGCCAACGCGGCTCCTTGGCCGAGATCGCGAGGAAGATCCGGGAAGGCCCCCATTTGGCAGCAGCGGTGAAGGCATGGCGCGCGTGGGCCCACCGAGAAGAGCACTGGGATCCGCATGAGCATGGCGCGCGGCTCGCAACATTGGAACAGGAGCGGCGGCAAAACTTCCGTTCGGCCGAACACGCGGGGCTGTGCCGGTGGCCCGCGTATCTGGATCAAGCCGCGCGGAAGACCAAGTGGGAGGAGGGGTGCGACTTCGCCGAGTGCGACGCCGACGCGTCCAGCTTCAAGAGGGCTTACGAAGCAGACGCGCAGATGATCTTCTCGAAAGTGCAGCACCACCACCATCCCGAGGGGAAGCCGTTGACACACTGCATCAAGAAAGGGTGCAAGCACGGAGATAAGTGCAAACATGGGTTTCCGAAGACATCGCTTCTGGCGCCCGTGGGCGGGCCCCGGTCACGCGTTGTTTGCCCGCAGGTGGCAAAGGAATTGGGGCTGAAAGTCAACGGCGCTCGGAACGCGCTAGGGGATATCGTAGACCCTCGCAATGACGAGTTCTTGAGCGGGACATGCCCAGCACTTGCGGTGGCTTTCAGGGGCAACGCGCACACGGCGCCGAACAACCGACTGCCGCTGATCGACGACGTCACGCACGACCCAGAGTGTTCGTGCCGCAAAGGCGCCGCAGCCGAGACGGCAGAGGTGCACGCACGGCGCATCGCCTTCGCGGTGCAGCGCTCCATGTCGAACCCCACGCGCTACATCGGCGGGCACATATCCAAGGTGCAGCGCGTCGGGGAGAAGGCGCGTGAGCTCGCGAAGACCTGCCTGTCGACGCTAGCCGAGCGACTCCAGGGGAAGTCCGAGATGCAGCAGACGCTGAACACCGTGCACCGCTGCATCGGGGAATGGGAAGCGAAGGGCGTGGCGCGGACGATCTTCGAGGAGATGAACTTGGCTCACTTCGCCGATAGGCCGAATCCGCTAGCAGCAGAATGCATAACGTCGTGCCCCGTGGCCGACTTCTACGCGGACTGCTTTCTGAAGATTGTCACCGCAGAGACTGGGGCAAGTGGCGCTTCCGCGCGGCGCCCGCAGAAGTCCGCGCTGTTCACGGAGACGGGCGACGTCCCCACACCGCCAGACGCGACCGCATGGGCGTGCGCGCGGAGGCCCGGCGCTTCCGACTTGCGGACTCTCAGCCCAGCCCGCGCGAGTTCGTCCGCTTCTACGAGGTGGTCCCGACGCGCCCGCCTCCCAGAGACACATCGAAGCCGTCCCCAAGTTGGACCTACTGGGCCGGGCATCCACCCGCCGCGGCGGACGGAAACTCCGCGGCCGTTTGTGCACTACAAGGTGAAGCCGCCGACGGGCGACTCGGGGTATTTTGCGTTGGAGGAAGACCCCTGCGACGAGGAGTTCGCGCACGTGTACGTGATCGTGCCGCGGAGTGTTCCTGCGCTGCCGGTCTTCATCCGGTCTGTACTGCCGCAGCCCGACATGACGTCGGAGCGCCGCAGCGCCATTCTGTCGTCGTACTTCCGACCGTGGACCCTGGTGGGCAAGTGCGGGTCTTCTCGGGGGCAGGTCCCGCTGGCGAAGCATTTGAACTTGCCGCCCAAGCGCCAGCGGTCTGGGGGGACCGCGCCGAGCTTCCGAAAAGCCTTGAAGAACTACCTGCGCGGCCACATCGTCTCGAATTCGAACCGCATTCTTTCTGTGGGCGAACGTGCTCCGCACAATGACGACGATGCCGGAGAACGCCGACGAGGGCGAGGGCGACCAGGACTCGAAGCCAGTGGAGGCGCTACCCGAGAACGCATTTCCGGTCCTCAGCCCCAGCAGCACCATGGCAGAGTTACGGCGAGTGGACCGAGACGCCGGGGCAGATGCCGCTGGCGAGGACATTGGGAACCTCTCCCAGTCGGTGCACAAAGCGCTGGAGCAGAGCATGTCCTTCTGGGACCCGCCGAACAGCGAGCCCACGTTGCGCGTGCCACTGCGACAGTCTTCGGCATTCCAGTGCGACGCCAGCGGGTGCTCGCGGGAATGCCCAGGAGCCACCGCGGAAGACTGCGCGCCCGAAGAAGCGGGAGAAGCAGCACCCTGGCGACGCTGACCTGGCGAGCAACATCCAGAGCTGGTGGAGAGGACTGGGGGATGGGGGGGCAATCTGGAGACGTGCAGTTCCCGTCTCGCTCTGGAAGAAGTTATACAGGATTCGTTCCTCGGCGTCAGAGTTGGCGTGTATCGAACAGAGCTTGCACAAATAATGTGCGGAAGTTTTACACTGCATGTACACTCCGTAACGTATTGTCGTGCGTGGGAAGGTTGACTATATGCGAGGCTTCGTGTACACACCTTGAAGGATGGCGCTGCGCTTGCTTGCAGTGCCACGGCCGCGCCATGCGTGCTCTGTGGAAGGTGCGTCAATTCGTTTACACATGCGCGCGCGTATGGTGTGTATATGTACATATACATTCCAGATATGCATTCACGTCGGGGCGTGGCAGGCAGGTGGCACGGCACATGCGGTGCGTAGCAGACAGGGTTGTGCAGCAGTCGTCGGTAAGGTGGGGAGTGTGCAGGGAGGCCAGGCCATGCGTATCCCTGCCCGATCGCAGGACTGCAGACGCACCAGATCACCCCCGACCCGCAGCAGATGAACATCCTGAACGCCGTCGCCGACAGGTGCGTCCAGGAAGCCAGCGAGCAGGACCAGCCGCGCGGGTCGCCATGCTCCCGGCTGTTCGTCCTCGGCTTACCCGGATCAGGGAAGTCCGAAGTCATCCAGTGGCTGTGCGACGAGAAAGTGGGGCTGTTTCCGGCGTGCATGGGATGGGAGCACGAGGTGCACTTCATGAAGACCGCCCCAATGAATTCCATGGCGAGCAACATCGGTGGGCGGACCATCCACAACTTCAGCAAGCTTGGAATCGGTCTCATCACGGGAGCCCAATCTGGCGGGAAGAAGGATCCAGAGCTGTCAGAGAACTTGCTGCACACGAAAATCCAGCACATGCGCTGGCTGATCATCGACGAGGTGGAAAACGTGTCGGTGGAGGTGCTGGACGCCGTGCACAGGCAGGTGAAGGACTCGACGAGGGACAAGGGAAACCCCTGGGCCGTGGACGCGCGCGTCCCCAAACAGTTCGCCATGTTTAGAGGGCTCAACCTGGTGCTGCTCGGGGACCTGCGGCAGATCCCACCCATTAGGAGTCTCAGTATTGCCGCCAATCCATTCGTCAAGCGGCCCGCCAACGTCGGCCGCATACTGGAGATGTTCTGGGCCGAGGGCATGCCGCACTCGGCAACTCACCGCTACGCACTGAGCCAGTCGCACCGCTGCTCAGACCCGTGGCGGAGGAGCTTCCTCGCAGAAGCGCGCGCGGGGGATCTGTCGGACAGGATGTACGATTTCGTTCACGGGTTCCCCACTGATGTGCCCGGCTCCTGGATGCCCGCAAGCCCCGGCAGCGCCGAGGCCCGGACGGGGCACCTCGGCTGCGGGAAGGTGAAGTGCCGCGCGCTCTTGTCAGTTGAGTGGCCACGGATGTTCGGAGAGGGTCGGCCTTGGGGCGACATGCGAGCTCTGGAGAGCGCAGATTGCAGCGCGGAGCGCCGTCGGCGCTGCCGCGTCGCCTCTCAGAGCGATGCCAGACAGCGGGAGGTGACCACGGCGTTCGCGGACGCGCTGTTCGTGCACCCGTACAACGCCCCGAAGAGCAGGATTTTGACACTGCGAGCGGCGAATGCGGCAGCCAATGCTGGGAAGCAGCTCCTCTGGGTGGTGGCGCGCGACGCCCCCCTCACTCGGGACGACGCATGCAGGTCGAAGGAGTCGCTCGCGAACGCCAGGCAGAACTGGCTCATGTACCCAGAGAACAAGACTGGCGGAGTTCCTGGTGTGCTTCCGATCTTCCACGGGACGCGCGCTCGCTTCACCGCGACGGAGAACGCGGAGGCGGGAGCTTGCAAGCACTCCTGGGGGACCGTGACGGGCTGGGTCCTCCACCCCGACGACGCGAAGTTGGTGAGCGAGCACAGGTCCGAGCCAGAGCTGGTGCTGCAGCACGTGCCCGACGCGATCATGGTGAAAATCCCTGGGAGCACGGCGCGCCCTTTTGGCAATCAGCCGGCGGGTGTCTTCCCCGTGAAACAGAAGGAGGTGTCATGGGATCGCAGCCCCGGTGTCAAGGCCATGGTGAAGCGCGCGGGATTCCCGCTTGTCCCGCACTTCGCCGCAACGGCCCACTGCGTCACCGGCGCCGGCGCCACGCTGCCGCAGGCCATCATCGACCTCCTGGACGCGCGCACGACGCCCCGTGCGCCCATGGTGCCCACGGGCTACGTGGCCATCAGCCGCACTAGGAGGGCTGACGACCTGATCATCACCCAGCCTTTTTCCCCCATGCTGTTCCGCCAGGGGCATCAGACGGGCCCATGGCTCCTGCACTCCCTCACAGCAGGGGAGATGACGACGGAACAGACGCGAGCTGGCTGGGCCAAGGCAGAGAAGGAAGCCGATTCCAAGTCGTCGAAGAAGTTGGTGGACGCCACGTTCCAGTGCGCCGACTGCCACCAGCGAAAAAGACCGGGCAACTTCCCGGGGAGTGGCATGAGGGCGAGCGACCCCGTGGAGCACGCCGTGGCGGTGCTGAGCCAGGGCGCGCGGAGGAGGTGCGCCCTCTGCGCGCAGAAGAAGGCCGGAAAGGACGTGCAGAGGCCAGCCCCTCTGCCCAGCCAGCTCCGTTGCTTTGAATGCGGCAAAGCCAGGCGCGTCTCGGAGTACGACAAGAAGATGTTGGAGCAGTTGCGCTCAAATGACGCCCTCGAGAGAGCGGTATGCCTGGCGTGTCGCCCCGCGCAACTGCACCGGCCACCGTCGAAGATAGGCGCGTTGCACACGTGCTACCAGTGCGGGGGCCTGAATGGCATGGAGCACTTTGACCTGGGCCGGCTGAATATGCATGGGGGGCCCGAGTGCGTTGTGCGCAAGGAGTGCTTCGACCTGCGCACGCGTCCTCCTTGCGGGAAGTGCGGGGCGAGGCCAGAGAGGAATCTGCATTACAGTCAGAGTAATTACCAGTGTGAGGCCTGTAGATTCCCGAACTGCGACGTCTGCAAGGTAGCCCCGCGGCCGCGAAGCACGAAGTACCTGGCGGCGAACAGGCCGTCGTGGACGTGCCCGGCGTGCCCGCGGGTCGGTCAGTGCGTGGTCTGTGGCGCCCCGTCACCAGACGCGGCCAAAACTGGTCGGCGTTCTGTGAACTGGGAAGGGCCGAGGTACACGTGCGACGCGTGCCTCTGGCCGCCATGCAGCGCGTGCAAGAAAACGCCGCGGCCGCGCGACCGCTGGTGGACAGTTCGCGCTGCCCCGGACTGGAAGTGCACAGATTGCGCGAAGACGCGCGAGCGAGGGAAGAGGTGCGCGTAGTCTAAAGATATCGCTCCACCTGCCACCTGCCGCTATCATCAGGGACGTCGTCGTCATCGTGTCTAATTGCGGGAAGAGGCCCGCCTGCGCCCCCGTCGCATGCGTCATCCTCTCGGTGGCAATTTTGGAGGCAGTTTGGGCCGCCATGCCTCCCTCTTGGGGACTTCTTGAGGCCCCTTGGGGGCCTATTTGGGGCATCTTGGGGCCTCTTGGGGGCGTCCTGGCCCGTCTTGGGGCGCTCTTCCGCCGTTTCGCCCCTTCGGAGACCGTCTTGGGGGCCTCCCACGGCCGCCTTGGGGCACTCTTGGGATCTTTTTTGGCCGTCCTAGGGGCCTCCTGGACCGTCTTGGGGGTTTCTTTGGGCCGTATTGGGGCTCTCTCGGGCCGTCTTGGGGCCCTTTGGAGGGCTTCTTGGGGCTTCTTGGGGTGCTTTTGGAGGGTGCTTGGGCCGTCATTGGCTTGTCAGCGTCGAGAAGGGCGAGAACGCGAAAATATTCAAAAAACCGTAGGAAAATCCATGATTTTGGCTTCTGGAGGCGCTCTTGGGAGGTCCTCTTTGGACCCTCTTGCGGCGTCTTGTGAGCTTTTGGGCTCTCTTGGGGCCATCTTGGGTCGTCTTGAGGCCGTTTTGAGACTCTCTTCGGCCGCCTTGAAGCCATCTTGAGCCGTCTTGACGCCCCTTGTGGGCTCCGGGGAGGGCCCAGAAGCCGAAATCAATGATTGCCATCGGTCTTTGTAGGTTGTTGAATTAGTGCACGAAAGGGGTCGGCGACTCGGCGGCGGCCCTGGGGGGGGATTAAGGGGGGAGACATGATAATGTCACACAATACAATATGTGGCAATTATGCAATCATTGGAAACATTGGATACGTTGCATTAGGGCTTCCGCTCCGCTGCGCGACCTGCCTCCGGCAACACGTCACTTCCGGGCGTGGATTCTCGGGCTTGCGCCACGCCGCCGACCCCTTGAGGGAAATATCAGGATGTTCCGCGGGACGCCATCCCGAATTCGCCAGCGGAAGCCCAGAGGGGCGCGCGTGCGCGGTGCCGCCTAGTGGGGGGCCCTTCAAAGTTGCAGGTGTTCGAACTTCGTCCGCGAAGTCCACTGTGCGGGGCAGTAAGGGTTGTTCGCCGAGCGCTTGCTGACGCGCGCTTGTCTTGGAGCAGTTGTGTTTTCATAGTTGCGATGACTCCGAGGCAATTGCAATTGATAATAGATCAGCCACCGCCGTTGGATTTCAGGGAGTTCGTTGAGGTGACCATATTCGGCGGGTCGTCGAGGCCGCCTGGGGGTCTTCTTTTTCTCCCTCACTCGTTGTTTCCTTTTTCCTTCACTCCTTGTCCCCCTCGTGTCGCGGCCCGAGTCACCTCCCTGCTCGGGGCGGCGCGGTGGGGGGGGCGGGCCCGCGCGCGGCCGGCGCTGGGGCCGCGCAGCGGCTGTCGGCGAGGCACCAGTGTCGATGGCATCGTCGCCGTCGTCGCCGCCGCCGCCGTCGTTGGAGAGCAAGGCGGGGGCTGGGGAAAGAGGGAAAAGAGGGCGAGGAAGAGGAGGAGGAAGAGGGGGAGAGGGATGGGGACGGGGATCAACAGGAGGAGGAGGGGCAGGAGGAGGAGGAGGATGGGGGGGGAGGAGGAGGTGAGGTGGAAGAAAAACAGGAGGAGGTAGCAAGGGAGGAGGAGGGGGTCGAGGAGGAGGAGGAGGAGGAGGTGGAGGAGGACGAGGAGGAGAGGGAGCCCGAGGACGAGGAACCAGAGGAGAAGTTGTGGTTTTGAAGTCTGCGCTCAGGGGATGGGCCCCCCCAAGCGTTGGGCAGGTCACGGAGGCGGTTTTATTTTGAGATGGCGGTTTCCGACGGCGTTTTTGATTGGTCTGCATGTCCCAGAACACTCCAGACGCCCAAGGCAGTCTTTGTTATCTTTCCAAGAGGTTCGAGAAGAGCTCCGGGAAACGTCCAGAACATTTGGGCATTCTTCCGAAGGCTCCCGACATGGTTCCTCGAAAGGCGACGACGACGAGGAGGGGGGGGAGGAGACGAAGGAGGGGGGGGAGGAGGACGAGGAGGAGGAGGAGGGGGAGGCACAGGAGGAGGAGGAAGAGGAGCAGGAGGACGAGGAGGGGGAGGACAGCGGGGGGACGTGGAGGACGAGGAGGGGGAGGGAGGAGGAGGAGCGGGAGGAGGAGGGGGAGGGGGGCGTGGAGGAGGAGGAGGAGGAAACGGAAAGGCGTCTGCGATACTTCTGCAAGGCATGCACTCTTGAATGCATCCTCGTCGGGTTGGTGCTGTTTGTCAGCGTCAAAAAGAGGGGGGCGTAGGAAGGGGAGGGGGGGGGGGGGGTTCAAGGCGAGGGGCTGGGGAAGTACGCGAGTTCCTACCGCAAGCGTCTCACCGCGTCAGGGAGACCCAATGCCAAGTTGGAAGCGGGAATACGTCTGCGACACCTCCGCTTGACACGCCCAGACGGCCAGTGCCATCACAGCCCGCGCCGTATGTCCTGAAGGTCGTTGACAACCGCCAGGAGGAGGATAGGAAGCAAGGGAAAGCAGGGAGAATGAGGAGGAGGACGAGGTTCAGGAGATAATGATATGGGGAGAGGGGCGATGCGGAAATGAAGGTACGAGGGAAGGCCGCGAGGCGGACGAGGGGGGTGCAAAGGCGGAAGAGGAGGAAAGGGAGGGCAGGTTGATCTGGAGTGTGCCTGAGATCCTTCGTCCAGACCTCCCACACCTCGAGGACCTTGATATATCTTTTCCGCTGAGCTAGAGGCCTGCCTCGGGCCCTCTCCTTGCCCTGATCCCGTACTCGGCACTCGGCGTCGTTCGGCCCCTGCAGTGGGGGCCCCTTTCTAGAAGGCATCAGCTCCTCTCCAGGGTACCCTGTGCTGTTTTGATTCCGATGGAGCCACGGTGGAGTCTTTTGCGCTCGCATGCGAGAAACCCATGGGCAACCTCGGCCTTCAGGGTTGGGGGTCTTGCGGAGGCTTCTGGTTGCCGCGCCCTCGCTGCACTTCGCCATCCCCGTTTTTGTCCGAGCTTACTGGGCATCCTCTTGTCCATGTTGTTCTTATCCTCATCATGCCCCCGCGATGGGGAAATGGAGGTGGCCCAGGTGGGGAAGTGGAGTCGGAGGAGGAGGAGCAGCAGGAGGAGGAAGAGGGGGCCTCAGAAGGTCCAGCAAGAAAGGAGGAGGAGAGCAGCAGGATGAGGAGAGTAAGAGGAAGAGAGGAAGAGGAGGAGACGGAGAAGGAGGGGCCAAATGAGAGGAGGGGGAGGGGGAAGAGGAGAGGGGGAGGAGGAGGAGAGGAGGAGGGGGAGGAGGAAGAGGAGGAGAAGGAGGGGGAGGAGGAGGAGGAGGAGGAGGAGGTGGAAGAGGACTGGAGTTGGGGACCACGGGGGATGGGGGGGACCACTGCGACGTCGATGCTGGCCCGATGGCAGGCGGCCCCCAGCCGCGCCGGCGCTGCCGACGCCATCGCCTACGCGCTCGCCAACGCCAGGCCGACGCAAGCCGCCGAGGCCAGTCGCCGCGCGGGGGGGCTTACACGCGTTCCTGAGGGGAAACGGGGCAGGAGGAGGAAGAGGAGGGGGCGCAGCAGGAGGGAGCAGGGGAGAGAGGAGAAAGAGGAGAAGGGGAGGAGGAGGAGGGGAGGAGGAGGAGGAGGGGGAGGAGGAGGAGGAGTTCTGGACCGCTCTTGTTATGGGGGCTCCTGTACTAGACGCCTTCGGCCATTCCGCCACCGCGCCTCGCTGGGGGGTCACAAATATAATATACCGCGCGTCTGGGGCCCTGGGCCCGGGGGCAGCTCACTGTTTCCAAAACTCCCCCGCCCCCCCGCTGCCCGACTTTAGTCTCCCGCCCCTGCGGGCCTGTTTGAACGGTCCTGGCGTTCCTTTCGCCTGGGCGACGCCCCCCTGGGCCCGCAGGGGGCGCCCAGGGGCCGCCGCGACGGTCCAAGAGCGCATCAAGCCGCCCAAGATGACGCCAGGATGGCCCAAGAAGCGGCCAAGAGGCCCCAGGAGCGCTCCGAGAGCGTCCTCAAGAGGTCCCGACGAGGCCAAAATCCTTGATTTCCATTGTTTTCCGTTGTCTTGGCCGTCCTCGCGTTTTCGGGCTTCCGACACCACGCGACTGTCCAGGTAGCTTCCAACATTTTTCCAGGAGGTCCCCCCAAAGCGCCTAGCGCATCCCCAAGACGACCCACGAGGGCCCCCACGCAGCCCAAGGGGCGACCAAGACGCCCCAAGAGAGCCCCAGGACGGGCCCAACAGGAGTTCCAGGGGGTAGACGCGAACCGACAATTCGAGCACCCCGTCCAGAAGGCCCTTAGGAGGTCCCAAAAGGCTCCCAAGAGAGCTCAAGAGAGCTACCAGAGGCCCCCATGAAGCCCAAAGGAGGCCCCCAACCCCAGATGTTTCGAAACGGCTTCGGACGCATAACTCATGCACGGTGGCATAGGCGAGCCGAGGTGACCAGGGTAGCGGGGGGGGATGCAGCAGAGGTGAGCAGGGGCGCGGGGAGCCGAGGTGATCAGGACTAGGAGGAGGTGGGGAGAGAGGAACCTAGGGTCCCTTGGCTCCCCTGGGCCCCTGTCGTGGCTGCCTTGCACGCTTTCCTCGAGCCTTCTTGGGCGCAGGTTTGCAAAGCCGTGTGCAGGATTTCGTCCGACCACTTTGCATGTCGAGTGATGTGTTAGCTGCCCCGACACATAGCATCACCTTTCCCGCGTCTTTGTTTCGCAATCCACTTCGTCGCACTACTTCTCTCACGCCACATTTTTCGTCTACCCATCTCTCTCACTCTGGCGCCTCATCTTCGCAGCGTCCCGTTTCGCTATTGTTGCATGTCTGCGCGAGTGCACTTCTTCATGAGAGACCATCGTTGACGAGAGATGCCTAAAATTACGCATAGGGGGCGCCCCCACTGTCACACGAAGAACCCCAGCATTCTGGCGCGCACGCGGCAGAGGCAGGATGAGGATGGCGATGGCGATGACGATGGCGT